CCTAAAACATACCACCTCCTAAAGAAATGGACCGTGAACAGAATCGACCACAGTCCACCTATACTTGTAAGCCTAAAAAAAAAACTGAAGTTATTATTTAGAAGACAGCAAGGATGGGCAGCGCCTGTGGCTCAGTGAGTAGGGTGCTGGTGCCCGAGCCAGCTCTACTTTCCCATTATTTCGGGGTGCAGTGCTGCCAGTATGAAACAGCCCTTCAGGGCATGCACACATCTTCTGGGGCTGGGAGTGGCCCTGGTGCAGGGTTCTCCCCTCCAGGGCTCAATGGGAGGACCCTCCAATTTCCTAGACCTGGTCAATTTTAGGTAAATTTCCTAGGCCTCTAACACCCAGGCGTTGCCCAGAGGAAAGGACAGTATAACCATTCATTTGTCAATACGTTCACTAACCTTGTTCCAAGGGAAGGGACTGTATCCATTTATGTGTCAGGATGTCTATATCTATATCTATATCTATCTCTCCCTAGACAAATAAGGAGAGGAGATTTTTTTCCAACTTAGGTTTTTCCCTCTGCTAAAAGCTCAGGTGCTTTTTCTGTATTCTTTTTTATAAAATAAATCCTGTCTTACCACTGCGCTGTGGTCCATGGATTCATTCTTTGAATCTCTGAGACCAAGGACCTACTGAAGAAGAAATTCCAGTAACAAGGGGACAGAAGAAATGAAAGTGTTCCCAAGGGGGTGGTGCCTGTGGCTCAAGGAGTAGGGCATTGGCTCCCTGTACTGGGGATGGCGGGTTTAAGCCCACCCTGGCCAAGACTGCAAAAAAAAAAAAAAAAAAAGAAAAGAAAAAAAAGAAAAGTGTCCCCAAGGAATTGACATCTGAACTGGAATATAAAATAACAACCCTACACAAAGGCCCTGTGGGCAGGAGCTGGCAAAGCAAGTATAAGACAGGAAGGAACTGGCCAGAGCTTAGCATCTTATTTATCTGAGTAGTTGTATGAGATGATTTTAAATTGTATCTCTCTGCCAGTAGAGTTGAATTTTTTTCTTCTTATTGGACATTTCCCTCTGTGTGTCTATGTTTAAATTGAGATATCGGCCTTTTTCATGTTCTCCACACATTAAGAATCTCAAGCTCCAAGTAAGATGGTCCTGTGGCTTTGTAGAGTGGGAGAATCCAGGGCACCAGGCAAACATTCCACACCACCTCCCAGTTCACCTCTTTCCACATGTTCCCTTCCTGCCTACAGGTCTCCACTCAAATGACACCTCCTTAGCCAATCTCCTTCACACAACTCACCCACTTATTTTATTTTCTTCATATATGACTGCAAGTTCCCCCCTCCCCCAAATTGTTAAGAAAAAATAACAGTATAAAGCAAATCTATTAGTGGGGTGTGATGGCTCACAGCTATAATCCTAGAACTCTGAGAGACTGAGGTGGGAGGATCACGTGAGCTCAGGAGTTGGAGACCAGCCTGAGCAAGAGTAAGATCCCATCTCTACTCAAAGTAGAAAAATTAGCCAAGTGTTATGGTGGGTGCCTATAGTCCCTCCCAAGGAGCTGGGACAATAGGTGCACATCTGGCTCTGTCCTATATTTTTGTTGTTGTTGTTTTGTTTTTCTAGACAGGGTCCCTTTGTTGCCCAGGCTACAGTGCTGTGACTAGGTCATAGCTCACTGCAACCTTGAAGTCTTTGGCTCAGATGCTCTTCCCACTTTAACCTCTCAAGTAGGGATTACAGATCTGAGCCAACGAGCCTAGCCAAAACTGTATTCTTTTAAAAAATGGACTTTATTTTTTAATAGCAATTCAAGGTTCACACACACACACACACAAACTGAACAGAAAGTGTTAGTTCCAATGTACTCCCTGATCCCACACATATGTAATTTCCCCTACTATCAACATTTGCAGCAGAGTGGTCCATTTGTCACAATTGATGAAGTTAAATTGATACTTCATTATCACTCACAGTTCACAGTTAACATTAGGGCTTTCTTTCTTTCTTTTTTTTTTTTGGAGACAGAGTCTCACTTTGTCACCATTGGTAGAGTACTGTGGCATCACAGCTCACAGCAACCTTTGACTCTTGGGCTCAAGCAATTCTCTTGCCTCAGTCTCCTGAGTAGCTGGGACTACAGGCATCTGCCACAATACCCGGCTATTTTTACAGACAAGGTCTTGCTCTTGCTTAGGCTGATCTCAAATGTGTGAGCTCAAGCAATTCACCTGCCTTGCCCTTCCAGAGTGGTAGGATTATAGACATGAGCCACTGTGCCAGGCCCAGGATCTTGCTCTTGCTCAGGTTGGTCTTGAACTCCTGAGCTCAGACAGTCCACCTGTCTCAGCTCCCAGAGTGCTAGGATTATAGGAATGAGTTGCCGTACCTGGCAGAAGAAAGGATTTACTGCAAAAGAGCCACTCAACTGGGAGGTAAGAGGAATGGACTGCCTCCAATCTGCCTCCCTGAACAGTAGTGTTAGGAGTTTTTCTGGAGGTGAGATGAATAATGCATAAGGGGAGTGAGCATCATTACTTGTTTGGGATGGAGTGCAGTGTACACAATCATAGTGAGAAATCAAACCATTACATGTATCCCATGATTTAAAAATGGTGGATAAGTCCCTTCCAGGCTGAGGATTTTTAGTGGTATAATGAGCTGGGGGTTAATAATGTCATTCTTTCCTTGTGCATAGGCAGGATGGCAGGAAGTGGGTTGTTCAGCAGGGCCTTGGGCACAGTCTGTGGTGGAGTATCACTTATCTTGTCTTCTCTGGACAAACAGGTGGTATAAAGCTTTGTAGTCGTCTCATGGTTGCAAAGGAGGCATCCACCATTTCTGGGAAATAAATTCAAAAGAGAATGCATCAGTGCAACAGAAAGTTACAAAATTCTGGCCAGCAAATCTTACTTGTCAGGGACCTTGAAATGTAAGAGAAGTACAAAGAAAAAAAACTATAAAAAGACATTTTCTTGCTTATGGAGCCAGTCATAGGCTCATTCTTTGTGTTGTACATAATACAGGGTTTTTTTTGAGACAGAGTTTCACTTGTCGCCCTTGGAAGAGTGCTGTGGCATCATAGCTCACAGCTCACAGCAACCTCCAAATCCTGGACCTAGGTGATTCTCTTGCCTCAGCCTCCCAAGTAGCTGGGACTACAAGTGCCTGCCACAATACCTGGCTATATATTTTTTGTTGTTGCAGTTTGGCTGGGGCCAGGTTTGAACCCACCACCCTCAGTATATGGGGTCAGCACCCTACTCACTAAGCCACAGGCACCACCCCAAATTACAGGTTTTGATAAATGTATGACATATATCCACCATTATACCAGTATAGTATCATAGAGAATAGCTTCATTGCTCAAAAACTCCTTTGTACTCTGCCCTTGAATTCCACCCCCCCCCCTTTTAAAATCCCTGGCAACCACTGATCCTTTTACTGTGTCTGTAGTTCAGTCTTTTATAGAATGTCATATAAGTGGAATAATGCAGTATGCTGGCTTTAAGATTGACTTTTTCCACTTAGCATACGCATTTAAGTTTCCCCATGTCTTCTTATGGCTTGCTAGCCCATTTCTTTTTAATACTAAATAATTAATTTAATACTGAATAATCTATTGATTGGATATACCACAGTTTATGTATCCATTTATCTACTGAAGGACATCTTAGTTGCTTATGGCAGTTGTTACTTAAGCTGCTATAAACATAAACATCCATTTTATGTAGTTGTGTGTATCATTTTAACTCTTTGGGTAAATACCACAGAGTATAATTTGTGGATAGCATGAGAAGAGTATGTTTAGTTTTGTAAGAAACTGCCAAGCTGTCTTCCAAAGTAACTGTGCCATCTTCCATTCCAACTAACAAGAATGATCGCTCCTTTTGCTCTACGTCCTTCACTCGCAGTATTTGATATTGTTAGTGTTTTGGATTTTGGCTATTCTAATAGTCATATAGTGGTATCTCATTGCTGTTTGGGGCTATAGTCTTTAAAAATGCCAATGGCGTGACAAGAAAACCTGAGGGACTGGTCTAGATTAGAAGACATGCAATGGAGGTGACAACTAGATGCAAGCGTGATCCTGGACTGCATCCTGTTCAGGGGTCAAAAGCAGTACAGAAGACGTTGTTGGGTCAGTTGACAAAATCAGAACAGGGAATGCAGGTTAAAGTGTTACGTTAATATTAGTTTTCCGAATTTGGATATTGTCCACAATTTCATTCTTAGGACACATATACTAAAAGAGTAAGGGCAAGTGGCCTGATGTATGCAACTTATCTCAAGTGATTTAGAAGAAAACATAAAGACACAGGTAAGGGAAAGGTGTCATACCTGAGCAATTTGTGAACCATGATGAAGGGTATTTAGGAGTTTATTGTACTATCTTTGAAACTTTCCTGTAAATTATTTCAAAATAAAACGTTTTCAGTAATTTTTTAAAAGTGACGTATTTAACATTCCATTCATATAGTTTGATGCACGCGCTCAAGTTTCTCAAGCATATTTGAAGAATGGAGTTGCAGATTCTTAAGGGGTGTGCGTCTTCAATTTGACTGGCTACATAGTTTACAAAACGCCACTAACATCCTTATTAATTTTATTATGCATTATCTTTCTCACGAAAATCTAAGATTCATGGCTGTGATATTCAGTGTAGTTTGTGGACCCGCAGCATTAGCCTCATCAGGGCGCTGGTTAGAAATGCAGTCCTCAGACTTCCATCCCAGACTTACTGAATCAGAAACTCAGGGTGTGGGGGCCGGGGTTCAGAATCGGCGTTTCCACACATTCTCTAACTTACTATAAAGTTTAAGTGTCGCTAATTTACGATCTATTAGAGCCGCATCTGGCTTGCGGACCGCAGTCTCCGAGAGAATGAACAGCAGAGTCCGAAACACGAGTTAACTGTGCAGGAACCAGCGGACAGCACGCCTTCCCCCAAGCACCCTTTCCGCGCTGGCAGCTGGAGCCCTGATGCCCCCACAAGGTGGGGAGGAGCGGCCGGACGGGGCGGGCCGGAGGCTGGCGTCCCCGCCTCCCAAGTTTTCGGCCCGCCGCGTCGCGCCGTCCTCTTCCTTCCTTTCCTTCTAACTCTCTTTTTTCCTTCTTTCCTTCCTTCCGCCGGGCGCTATGGAGCCAGGGCGCCGGGCGGCCGCGGCGCTGCTGGCGCTGCTGTGCGCTGGTTGTGCGCTGCGCGCCGGGCGCGCCCAGTACGAGCGCTACAGCTTCCGCAGCTTCCCGCGGGACGAGCTGATGCCACTCGAGTCGGCCTACCGGCACGCGTTGGACCAGTACAGTGGCGAGCACTGGGTCGAGAGCGTGGGCTACCTGGAGATCAGCCTGCGGCTGCACCGCCTGCTGCGCGACAGCGAGGCCTTCTGCCACCGCAACTGCAGCGCGGCGCCCCTGCCCGAGCCCGCCTCCCGCTTCGCCGGCTATCCGGAGTTGCGCCTCTTTGGGGGCCTGCTACGCCGCGCGCACTGCCTCAAGCGCTGCAAGCAGGGCCTGCCAGCCTTCCGCCAGTCCCAGCCTAGCCGCGACGTGCTGGCGGAGTTCCAGCGCCGCGAGCCTTACAAATTCCTGCAGTTCGCCTACTTCAAGGCAAGTACACCCCGCCCCACGGCCCGTCCCCGCCCCCGCCTTAGGTCCCGCCCCCACACCCGAGCCCCGCCCCTCCGTCCTGGGCTTGGATCCACCTCTCCTCCTTGACCCGACTGTCTTCCACCCAGCCCTGCCAAAGGTCTCCTCCAAGTACTTTTTCTCCTTCTTCACCTTAGGTAGAGATGAAAATGACATTTTAAAATTTTATTTATTTATTTTCTTGGTAGAGACAGAGTCTCACTTTATCACCCTCAGTAGAGTGCCATGGTGTCACACAGCTCACAGCAACCTCAAACTCTTGGCTTTAAGCGACTCTCTTGCCTCAGTCTCCCGAGTAGCAGGGACTACAGGTGCCCACCACAACGCCCGGCTATTTTTTCTGTTGCAGTTTGGCCGGGTCAGGGTTTGAACCCGCTACCCTTGGTATATAGGGCCAGTGCCCTACTCACTGAGCCACAGGTGCCGCCCGAAAATGACTTTTTTAAAAAAGACAGTCTCACTTTGTTGCCCTGGCTAGAGTGCTGTGACATCAGCCTAGCTCACAGCAACCTCAAACTCCTGGGTTCAGGCGATCCTCCTGCCTCAGCCTCCCAAGTAGCTGGACTACCACTGCCCGCCACATCGTCTGGCTAATTTTTGTTCTGTGTTTAGTAGAGAAGGGTCTCCAACTCCTGAGCTCAAGGGATCCTCCTGCTCACTCACAGAGTGCCAGGATTACAGATGTGAGCTACCCCCCCCACACCAAAAATGCTTTTCTTAAAGGTTGTTCTAAGGTAGAGAATACTTATGTAGAACACAGCACAGTGCCTGGTAAATATTACTCATTATTCGAGGGCAGACTCCTCTTCTCTGTAAATACTATTAAAATCGCCTTTTCCCAAGTGAGTTGTGATTTGTGATAATAGCAGGAGAGGACCCAAGGAGCCAAGTAGTCTCTTTTGAAGAGCAGAAATGGAGGCCAGGGAAGGACAGGGGCTCCTTTTGAGGCTACATCCCTGCTTAGAGGAGAAGAACTTGTGCCTCATGAGTCACCGGGGTTGGCCCCCTCTGCTGTCTCTCTCTTTCATCTGGAATTTAACACAGTTCACTGCCTCCTTTTTATGGCTGCTTAAATGCTCTCTGTGATTGCCAGCTAAAAATAGCCACAAATTGCAGTTCTCCATCCTGTAAGTCCTTACTGTGGAGACCCACAAGTTTTAAGAATGGGTTGAACCTCACTGGACAAAGGCTGTAGCTTGGTGGGTCTTCACAGGGTTTGACTAAGAAAAAGCCTTTGCAAAGCCCAGTTTCTACTTTCTCTGGTTGAAAAAGATTTTAAAAGGAATATAGTTCTATTTATTTTATAGTGACTGCAAAAATATTAGTCATTACTACTGGTATATCCCACGCTCTTGGGGTAAACTTTTGCTTTGTTTTTTAACTTTATTTTGAGTCTCTGGACTGCAAGATCAGGTTTTCATATTTCCATTGACACAGAACCACATGCAGATTGCATTCATACTTACTTTATTGAGCAATAAAATAACATAAAACACTCAAAAGGAGAAAAGCTGAGTGATTCCTATGCTTAGATACAGTTTTATTTAAATTCTCAGGTTCTTTTTTTGTTTTGCAGTTTTGGGGCCGGGGCTGGGTTTGAACCCACCACCTCCAGCATATGGGGCCGGCACCCTACTCCTTTGAGCCACAGGCACTGCCCTTAAATTATCGATTGTATGAGTCTTTGTCCTGGCAATAAAAAAAGAAACCGTTTTAAAATAGAACCAGGGGATGAGATTAATAAAATTCTAGAATGTTAAAAATGATGGCTTGCTAATATAAGCACTGTTTTTAAAGCTAAAAATGACTCGCCGAGCATGGTGGCTCACGCCTGTAATCCTAGCACTCTGAGAGGCCTAGGTGGGTGGATTGCTTGAGTTCACGAGTTTGAGACTAGTCTGAGCAAAAATGAGATCCCCGTCGCTACTAAAAGTAGAAAAACTGAGGCAAGAGGATAGCTTGAGCCCAAGTTGGAGGTTGCTGTGAGCTCTTACGCCACAGCACTCTACCCAGAGCAACAATTTGAGACTCTGTCTCAAAAAAAAAGCTAAAAATGACTTGTCTAATTCTTTATTGTATAGCTTTTGGCACATATAATCTGAACAAAATTTAAGTCACATACTCAAGGGGAGAACATTTTACTTTTAAACCTGGAAAATACCAGAAAAAATACCAGAAAAATTACAAGCTCTGATTTTTTCCAACATACAGACGAATTTGAACAAGTGATACAGGGAAAAGGGGAAGAATATTTTATTCAGTGTGATCACAAGGCATGTGTTTTCTCCATCATGGCAGTCGCAAGAGGTTAAGATGTTCATAGCTTCTCTTCAAAAGCCTTTGTAGGGTGGGACTGCAAACTAATACTGCCTCTTTGGAAAGAAGTATGAAGAATCTTCAAAGAACTCAAAATAGACCTTCCATTTAATGCTGCAATCCCATTACTAGGTATCTACCCAGAAGAAAAGAAAATCATTTTATCATGAAGACATTTGCACTAGATTGTTTATTGAAGCTCAGTTTACAATCGCCAAGAAGTTGAATGAACCCAAGTGCCCATCAACCAATGAATGGATTAAGAAACTGTGGTATATGTATACCATGGAATACTATTCAGCCATAAAAAGATGAAGACTTTACATCTTCTCTATTGATATGGTATATGTATACCATGGAATACTATTCAGCCATAAAAAGATGAAGATTTTACATCTTCTCTATTAACCCAGATAGAATTGGAGAACATTCTCTTTAGTAAAGTATCACAAGAATGGAAAAGCAAGCAACAAAAAAAAAATGGAAAAGCAAGTATGTATTCAATATTAATATGAAACCAGTAGAACTAATACATGCCCACACAAGGGAAAAACTCAATTTAATTCAAGATGGGTGGGGAGATTGGTGTGCTCCCACCTAATGGGCACCATGTAAGGGTATATGGCACACTTGCAGGGTGAGAGGCACGACTACAACAGAGACCTTACCTAATAAATGCAAACATCATAACCTAATCATTTGTACCCTCATATTAATCTGAAAATTTTTTTAAAAAGCCTTTATAGGTCTTGTGACAACTACTTACTTAAAAGTCAATAAAATGCTGTCTTTCTTGGTATTTTGAGATCTTTTACAGAGGAGGAAAAACTTAAGTATTTTATTAATAAGCATGAATGTTCCCTTAATTGTTTCAACTGAAGATATCACGGAAAAAGTGATTTTGGGTGAATTTATTATATCATTTCTTCTTTTCTCAGTGATGTTTACATTTTTACACTCTCTTTATGGGAAGGAGAAAATGGTGACAGGCTGTTATGTCCTACCTGGTATCTGAAGGCTGGAGATTGATACTGGAGGTAGTGATGCGGTAGAAGGGTTTGGGGGAATATTATTGTGTAGTTCCGATTCTCAGGTCTCCATTTCAGTGATGAAGGATAAAGGCCTAAGTTGAACATGGGAATAGGAATGGTGGTTTCTGGCTGTCCGAGTGAGGCAAGGAGGCTTGGGTATGTGATCTTGCAGAAAAGGGCCACGTTACTGCTATGTAGGTCTCAAGGTCGCCGTAGGTTTCTTATCACCAGCCTACTTTAGGTCCATGTCATTAGCTATAGGTTCTCTCCAGGGCTGCCATCCTCATGAATTTTGCTTGACTTTTCCATAGACCACACAAAAAGTGGGCCCCAGCACTTCAGCAAGTCCTCAGTGACTATTTTAGTCTGAGCTGGGCAGAACAGGCTGGCTCATAGGCACTCAATCCAGGCTTTTTCTAGATGTGGGCTCTGATCTTCCCCAAGCCACAGTGCCTGTTGCCACATCAAGGCTGAGATAGGGTAGCTCCTTTGGCGGGTAGCTGGGGTCTCATGCAGATGACTGTGCCCTAGTTGCCCATGGCAGGGTGGGTGCTCTCACCCACCTTCACAACCTGCCTGGAGTCTGTCAGAGGCTTAGCAGTCAAGATGTGTCTCCATGTTCCAGCTCCAGAGCTTAAGTTGAAGTAAATAAAATCACTCTTTTATTCTTTTCTTTTCAGGAAATAGTCCTATTTTGTAAAACTCAGGTGCCAAGTTAAAGGCTTTAAAAATCCTACTCTGGGCCCCTTTCTAAGTTGCTCTTCTGAGAAACAGAGATTCTCATTTCATTAACAAATGCTTTAAAAGGCGGCATTCATACCCTTTCCCTTCTAGCTGCAGACTAGCCTTTTTCTGGCCAAGGGTGTGGAGCTTTCTATGGAGCTCTTTCTAAGCAGTCTTGCTTCAGGCCACTCATTGGCATTCCCTAAACATCACTGTAACATCTGAGAGTCTGCTCTCACCACCACTCACCATGTCTCCAATGTAGCCACTGCCATTGTCTCAAAATGACTTCACGTCTGAAGCACTTTGGTGCAGATATGTGCAGTTCTATGATTCTCAGAAAACCAGGTGTATTTCCCTGGCTTACCCGTTTGTTTTGTCTCTCCAAACCGAATTCCCCAGTTCCTGCCTCTGAGTGTCCAGCTGGATGTGCCTACCCTTCCCCTAACAGGGGGCACCATGATTCCCCCTATGGCTACTGGTCATGGGTCCATGCAGGGAGGCATCCATGTCGCTACCTGCCTGTCCTCTCGAGGTCCTCCCACAATAGTCCTCTTCTCCCTGAGGACTTTTGCCTTTCTAGGCACTGTGAACCAGAGTGCTAGCCCTGAAGGTCCAGGGCCCAGAGACCTTGCTCTTCCTTCAGATCCCAAGGGCAACTTTCTTCTAGCCTGTGAGATTCCCTCCTTCTTCTTCTAAGGCCAGTCACTTCTTCCTGCAGCTCCCTCCCTATTTTTCTGCTTTCCTCAAATCTGTCAAGTGTTTTCAAGAGCACCAGCTTTTGTCAAATGGGTAAGTGCTTCATTCTAACCAGGCAAAAAAACTCAGACAACAGGGCGGCGCCTGTGGCTCAAAGGAATAGGGTGCTGCCCCATATGCTGGAGGAGGTGGGTTCAAACTCAGCCCTGGCCAAAAACTGCAAACAAACAAACAAACACAAAAAACTCAGACAACAAAACTACTTTCCCTGAGACAACAAAACTCAGAATCAGCTGGCCACTCTTTCTCTGAGGAGAAGAGAAGGGAGGAAAATATGAATTAATTTGATGAAAATAGCATGTGGTCATAATATCGTGATGTTCGAATCACAGATACTTATTGGGTCCTGCCTTGTCCCAAGGACTGTGCCAGGTACCAGGAATGTAGGCACGAATGACACTCAGCTGGGTCCTCCAAGGAGCACAGTCTGATGGAGAGGATAGACACATTAGCTGAGATTAGGTGTAAAAAGCAGGAAAATGTAACCCAGGGGTAACATAAAAGAGAAGATCTTAATTGAAGTTACTGGGAGGTAATGAGAACTTACTAGGATAGTCCGTGAAAGTTGAGGTTACTTTTTCCTGGTTTTTGTTGTTGTTGTTGTTACAATCCCCTAGAAACAATGCCTGCATATAGAAGGCTTACCACAAATATTTGCTGAGTAGATGAGTAAGTGAGGAGGAGGTGGTGGGTCATCGAGAATGTACGTGGAGGGTTCTGTGAGAAATTCAGGAAAACATTTAATAGAGTTAGCAAAGTTCGGGCTGAAAAGATATAAAGCCATAAGGGGTATTTTAAAATTTTTTTTTGGAGATAGAGTCTCACTCTGTCACCTGGGCTAGAGTGCAGTGCCATCAGTCATAGCTCACAGTAACCTGAAACTCCTGGGCTCAAGGGATCCTCCTGCCTCAGCCTCCCACGTAGCTTGCACCACCATGCCCAGATAACTTTTTTGTATGTTTTATAGATAGAGGGTCTCACTCTTGCTCAGGCTGCTCTCAAACTCCTGGCCTCAAGCAAACCTCCCTCCTTGGGCTCTCAGAGAGAAAGATTATCGGCATGAACCACTGTGCCCAGCCTCATATTAGGTTATTTGAGGACAGTGTCATAAAGTGATTATTAACAGAGGTGTGCTCCTTGTGCTACTGGAGTACCCTTGGGCTAGTGACAGCATGCCTAGGCCAAAAGAGGCCAAATAGCAGTTATTGGAACCTGAAAAGGGGGAGATGAGAAGTGGACAGAGTTACCCTGGGAGGAGCT